ATTACCGAAGAACCTTTAAAGCTTCCAGCCTCAGAACACTGCAAAGAGGTATTTACATACCCCTTCCACAAGTGGTGACTTTACAGACTGTGGTATCCAAATCAAACATTGGCATCTCTAACCCCTCTTCACAGTTATGCTCCTGAACACCTGCTCCGATTTTGGTACTGGATTAACTCCAGAGCAGAGCAGAAACTTGAACCTACCACTCTTAGCCCAGCTGGGAGTCGAACCATTGCACATTACCCACCCAAGATCTGCACTAGTTGGATCAATCAACCTGCACGAATGTCAAATGATCTGCTAAGCTTCTTACACCGGGAAGTGTTTCTTTCTCACCTGAGGCTAACAATCTTTTAGAGACCATCCTAAGTCAGCATCGCTGCAGCAGCATCAAATTTCAGGACTTAAGACTCACTTCTTAAGAATTCCAAGAAAATCACAGGAGTAGCTTTTAAAAGTAATGAAATCAAAAATAAATAGGCAATGCACCCCAACCTTTTTATTACTCTGACTTTTGAACCTATTAAAGTTCCTAATTTCAAGCTTCTCTGTGCATCTATGATTTTTTTCTAAATGAAATAAAAGCCAAAACACTTGTATAACCAGCCCATTCTGGGCGCATTATGACTTGCCATTAGATAGTAAGAAACAGTAGCACAGGACCTATGAAAAAGGTTTCTTTTTGTAATTGTCCAAAATGAGTAAAACACTGAATTAAATGTTCTGCTGTTGTAAAGACACTGTAATAAACAACACTGGGATAATGTGTGTTTATGGCTTCACTTTGTGATTAAGATTACAAAATATGCAAAATGTTTAAATACCTAGTATTTCTACATTTATTACTAACAGAGCAGATTCGTAAATTCTGTTATCTGTAGCAGAGAACAGGAAAACATTTTTAGCCTCTTTTTCTGACAAATGACTTACAAGCTGAAGCAACTCTAGAGAGAAAACAGAAAGAGAAGGAAACTCAGAGTATAAAACTTTCAGACCTGAGTCTGAACTGCACTGTGAATCCCTTCCCATTATCAGACACTTTTTAAGGATTCAGCTCAATGAAAAATGAAGTACAAGACTTCATTCTGTCCTAGCAAAGGGCAATAGGAGGATCTGGGGCCACACTTAAGCACATAAGCTCACCTATTCCAATATATTTTCAACTCACTGATGAAGCGTGCATCATGCCATCCTTTGCCACTGGTCTGGGATAATGACTTTGTGTTATTAACAAGGAAGGGAGCTGCAGTTTCTGCTCTAGTAAAAATGCCAGACGTTACATGAACACTCTTGTGTCCTGCACATGTAAATGCTTAGCTAACAGGTCACGTGTTGGTGAGACCAGACTCTCCTCATATGAGACCAGACAAGCATGCATCTAAACTTCCCTCAGGAAACAGACTGACTCCATTTCCTTAAAAAGCCAGGAGAATCCTGACTGTGGAGACACTGTGAGGCAAAGAGACAAATGAGAAGTGACAAAGTCTAGTGGTTCCCAGAGTTATCTGACCAGGTAGCCCTGCTTTGAAAAAAATAGTAAGAGAGGCCTCAAACTTTATGGCAAATACATTCCTTGACACAGCATGTTGAGAATGCAAGGGAAAGATGGTGTTCAAACCATGGCTATAGTAGGACAGGCATAGCTTACAGTCTTTTATATTGGTTCATAATAATGAGTAGAGATGTTTCACAATTGCTCAAAGCTCGCTGTGATGACAAAAGCAATTTCTGGAATAAATGACAAGGGATCCTGTTCTGTTTTCACTTTCGGGTCATAAATTCAGGGCCTTCCCGTACTTAAGATGGCATTAACAGAATCAAGCCCAAACAGAAAATACATAGGGAAAGCTACATATACAGATCCAAAGAAATAACAAAGAAAAAGGGAAGAGGTGCTACACTTCATGGCAGCAGTGCTTGTTGGAGGCTCAGAAATGGGAGAAAAGACAATCCCTGTTCCAGGTCCCTTACTCTAGAGAAACTGGGGAGGGAGGGGTGGATCCAGAGAAATTAGTGAATGAATCTTTTTGATTAAATGGCACAATTATCACCTACCTTGGAGGAACTTAAAACAATACAACAGGATGTGAACTAAGTTCTTTGTAATAGTGACAAATCTTTGATTTGAAAGGTGAATAAAATTATAGGGAGTAGGTGGGCAGTCTAGATTTCATTCTAATGAGGAGGAAGTGAAAGAAATTTAAGAATTGAAAGGTGGGTGTGATCGTGAGACACTGAAGAAAGGGCGAGGAGACCAAGAGAAGAACAGAAGAACAATAGACTTCAAAAAAAGGAAAAAATTACAAAGCAGTCTTCAACACATTCAGAACCAGGAGGCATGGTCTGTTGGGAGATAATCTAAGGCCAAGAGGAACGCAAGAGATCTGGTAGTGCTGAAAGAAACTGCATCAAAAGCACAACAGCACTACAGCTCAATGCAGAGAAACGACCGTGAACACAGGTTAAAAACAATATGTTTATACTAGGAACACTTTAAAGGACTGAATAACCAAAAAAGAAGTTGTAAAGGAAGAGTGAACAAGGACAGGCAGCTATGGAAGAATATAAAGGACTAACGTAAGCACACAGAGATAAATCAGAAGGCTAAGCCCTAAACTGAATTACAACTAACAGGGACATAAAGGCAACAAAGGGAGCTCTATAAATACATTAAAAGTAAGAGGACACTAAAGGAAAACATAAGCCCATCAGTTAATGGAGAAGAACAAATCTGATGATGCTGAGAATGCAATATTATCTCTGCCACAGCCTCCAGGAAAGGTTAGCTGTGACCCAATACTTAACACCAGTAATTCTAATAAGGAGATGAGCGAGCTGGCCAGAATGGGGAACAAGTTGAAGTCTGTTCAGAAGAGATAGGGCTTGCTTGCCCTGAGATATAAAATGTGATAAATTCAGGCGTGAATTTACCCGTCCCTGCAGCAGCCAGCACCCACTTCAAACGTAATGCGTGCCTGTACCCACAGAGCAAGTGGGCAAGGGGTGTTGTGCTGTTCCAGAAGCTGGCTCGTTTCTGACGTTGATAAGGAGGAGCTGGTGACAGGTCCAGGACATTGCTAGAGATAAGAGAAGGCATATGTTCGTGTGTCAACACTCGTCAGGAAGATTTTCTTCACAACTCTTTGAATCTTTCTTCAGCTGAGAAATCTGCAAAGGGCCCAGATTAGGGCCGCAGAGCTACCAGGCCTGTGCAGAGGGGCAATGCCACCTTTGTGCTGACAGATTCCACAGAAGCTGGCCAGGAAAAAAATACAAGTAAGAGTTTCTGTGGACATAAATATGTAAATATGGACATCCCATTCCCCTTAGTGGAATGGGATGTGTTACCCAAGAATTTCCCTTGTCCGGTCAAGGTGAGGGCAACTTCTTCTGCTCCAAGCCTTTGTCATCTCCCCCCTGGCTGGCCCGGATGTGTTCCTGCCATCTTCCATATGTCGCAGACCAGATGCAGCGTCTGCTCCCAGGCTTCACGTTGTAACTGTCCCCTATTAATAACACATTCTTCTCTCTGTGACACAAAGTGACTCCACAGCACTTTCTGGTAAGGGAAATTATAGTCTGGCATCTGTTCTTTTCACTGCCAGAACCAGATTGCTCATCTTATTATATCTTACAAAATTGCTTAAGACCTGCGAGGAGAAAATTGATTTTCAATATGGCCTTTTTTTGTTTTAATAGACACACTTAAGATCACGAAAAGCACCATGCCAGGTCCAAACACATCACAGATTCTTCTTTTTTTTTTTTTTTTTTTTTTCCAGGACCAGCTATTGCCAGCTATTGTAATGACATTGGGGAAAAAAAACTGAGGAGCTTCAAATCAGAGTATCCCAGCACTGGTGGATACCAAGATCCTTGTTCAGGAAGCTCTATACTGTACTGGCCCTTTTCAGCTCAGCTGGAAACAAGTCTACAACTTAACCCTGGGTGGCGAGGCAGCACAGCAGAGAATATCCTCTTGCCACAAGAAGAGGAAGGTATTTTGTAGCTATTCCCTTCTGCTCCGATCTCTCCATTTACAGATGGACTAACCCACAAAGCCAGGATTTCCAACTGAGCCAACGCAGGTACCAGAGACACTAAAGAACAGGCTTCACACTTTTTTTTTTTTTTTTTTTAAGCTCGGCACAGTGGCACAGGTTCAAAAGAAGAAGCACCCTGCCAGCTAGGATTAATATTCCTGTTCACTCTCACCCATGTTAAGGGGTGGTAGGACCGTGGAGCCAGGAAGAGAAATGTGTATCTGCATTCAACAGTGCTCTCCGCTAAATAGAAGTTACGTTAAATCAATAGAGAAGATCATTCCTGACCTTTCTCTTGCTGCCAAGATGTGGCAGCAAGATATAGATGACAACCACCTGCTGGGTTATACATAACTTTCCTGAGCCGCACACTATGAATTGGCAACAGAAATAAGATTGTGAGAGTCAGGATGCATGGAAAATGGCATTCCCTTGAAGGTGAAGTGGTTTCTACAAAAAGTTCATGGACCAAGTAGTTGCCTCCATTCCTAGAAGTCCCTTGAATTTCTTCACAGGGAAGTCCAGCTGTTGTGTCTGCCAACCCTCAGGCAGAGAACAGGTAAATTTCACCAGACTTTATTAACAAATAGCCATTATCCATATGGTACTCATACCATTTTATCTGCATCTCATGCATCACCACCCCTGTGGCACAGACCTACACAGCTTGAAGACACCTCCTGTATCTGGAAAACCCCTAGAAGTGATTTCCAGGAGACAGCACCTGCACACAGACCTGGGAGCCACAGACAAGCTGCAATATGCCCAGCTCCAGGGTACAATGGTCAGCCTTTGGGCACAGGTGAGAACACCTAAATCCAGCAGCCAGGAGAAAGAAAGTGATCTGCTTTCTGAATGAAAACCATCTCCTTCCTCTTGGGCTTACATCTTTGATTTAATATCTTTATGTGTCCCCTTCCCACTCAGCCAGCCCTTGCACAGGTCTTTGCAGAATCCCAAAGGGAGAGACAGAAATCTAATAATGAGATTCCTAATAACGAGATTCTAAAACAAAATGCTAACCACAAAGATGATACATTCACATCACAGGGGAATGGGCTGCAATAAATCTGCCCAGAGAGACCCTCTCTGCTACCTCCCTGCACCCCCTAGTTCAGCAGGTACATTCAGCTAGGATAAACCCCTGATTAAAAATGTTGCATCCTAGTTGTGGTAGCAGCAGCTGAGCATATAGACAGTTTCCTCCCTGTGCCTGAGCATCACAACAGCAGCACAGAGGCTGCTTTCACCTCCAAGGGCAGCGGGGAGGAAGAGCTGGAATAACCTCAGTAAAGCAGGTGGGTCAGGGTGAGAAGCACTTTAGCCTGCAGAGATGCAGTCTCTATTTAACAGGCACATTGTGCAGCTTGGCTAGTTAATGTTACTGTGCCGGTTTGATGCATAAATCATGCATTAGCACTTTTGTTCTCTGTCCGCAGGGCACACACAACCAACCGACATGGTGCAGAATTTGCTTTGGCTCAATAGCAGAGCTGCTTTTCTAAGGGCATTCATTAAGTGGAAGTGGCCAAGGAAAACAGACACAGCACCATGGATATTTCTCTTCTGATTGCCAATGAATATCTGTTGAAAGCTTTTCTATTTTTTTCTCAGCTTTAGCAGCTGGAGAAAGGACAGCATGGAAACACAGTAAAGTGGTGTTCAGAACCTTTCTGGATTTATTACAGTAGCTTTTTTCACACCTCACCAGGAACATCCCCATACCTTCTTCCCAATCTCAAGTTCCCTCCCAGTTACATGAAGGTATAACTGGCACTGCTGACCACAGCCAAGTCAATGTGCCATTCCCCTCCAAGCAACTCTGGTCCATTTTATTTATTTATTTATTTTTACAGATCTTGTTGTGTTATTTTTTTTTTTTATCTTCTAACATCTGATATTAACAGATCACACACTCACCTGTTTCATCTCTGTCTCCAGTCCACCACTGGACTTCGCTGGCTAAAACCCCAAGTACTGCCTCCCTCTGATATCTCCAGACCTTTCACTTGCCCTGTCTTTACATGTGCAACCCCATCCCTTCCCACATACACCTAAATTCTCAGTCTTGCACTGAACAAGCCAGGGACACAGTCTGCAGAAATCCCTTTTCAGCATGAAGTTCGTGCCCTGCGTGCCAATAGTCCTAAGGATAGCCTGAAATATAAGACAGAAGATCAGTGGTCCTGCTTCACTACGTTGTCCTTCTGGGAATTTTAAAGCCAGGTAATACCAGAGCACATAAGCGCTGAAATATTGAAAGGTAAAACATAAGGGAAGCCACAGGAGCTGCCACTTCAAGTGCCATTTGCCAAGGTTGTGCTGTCCAAGTTAGAAGCAGCAATGCAACCTGCTAAGCTCCAAGGTAACAGATACCTTTAAGTAGTTTGAGAAGTCACTGAAAATAAGATAAGAAAGACAAGACATGTGGTCTGAATTCAGACACACGGAAGATGCTAGGGACCAATCCCAACCCAAGGGTGAGCTTCAGTAACCCCCCAAAGGTCAGAAGGACTAACGATGCTCAGCAGTTGACAGGAACCAGGTCTGAAAACTCTGAAAAGAAATCATGAAACCTAGAGATCACCTCTACCAAATGAAGAAGCCTTCATTGAAAAGCCCTGGAAACCCCATCACTTAAACCTGAAAAAAATAAAATAAAATCAAAGAGTGATTGAAATTGTTTTTAAAAAGTCACACTCCGATCGCAGGAGGGCAATCTGGAACCAGTCTGTGAGTCTGAATTAGGACAAATCATGCATATTTTATTTCCTCCTTCAAATGCAAATGCATGTCTAATGTATTTAAAGTTTCATCTATTGCCAGGCTGCTTTACCAGCAGATGTACAAAGGGAAAAGGATGACAAGAAAACTACAGCAAGACAGTTTTCTCAGCACTTGAGACCTAGGGTATAGCAGCACAGTAGATGTAGCAATGATACACACGTCCTAAATGGTACAGATAGAAGGGAAGGGGAAATAGTCATGGCAAATGGTAAGAAAAAAGGATGCCGTTCATCATTACTAGGATGAAGTGAGATAGGTGTGAGAGCCAGCTGTGTTCTGTCTTGCTGTGGTTACCTCCAACCACTTTGATGTTCTTGCAGTGCAGGACAGGTCCTGGTTTCTTTAGCATCTTGAAGTTTTCTCCAATGACAGTGTGTATTTTCCAAGCATCAAGAATAGCAGAAGACAAGTGTCATGACCATTTCCCTGATCATGTCCTTTGTTCCTTCATGGGGCATTTGAGAAGCAAGATATCACCAGAAACTCAGAAGATGGAAAGCATGGGGGGGACGGGAGAAGGGTGATTGCAAAGCTTTGTCTGTTCTGCCTCACCAGATAATCCAAAGCAACAAGATCTGATGCCAGAACAATCTCTGTGCCAATTTGTGCCTTGAAGAAGCCTTGAGGAGCATGCAGAAAGTAGTTCAGCACAACGCAGCCAAGAGATGTAGGAACAACACCAAATTATGATAGCTTTGTAGGAACAGCTTGCTTTGGGCCAGGTGTCACAAGAATATCCTACCAGGAAGAAACAGAAACAACCCAAGGCATTATAAGGAAAGCAAAAACAAGCTTCAGTTTGGGACCCTCTAAGCCCCACAGCTATTCTATCTTCTAAAGCACCAAAGCTTTTTCACGGACAAGAAGTCTGGAAAAAGACCAGGTCACTGCAAGGAAGCTTTTCCAGTAAGACTACTCCTTTAGCCTAGTCTCCTACCTAATAATTAGAAGCTGCTGCTCACAGAGCAGTGAGCATGAGAGATGGAAGGAAACCAAAGGACCAATTAGGTCATTAATCCCTCAAGTTGACAGATTAGTCCTTGGAGCATATTTCTTACTGCTTCATCCAGTTTACTTTTTAAACAATCCCCGCAATGGAGAGTCTATCACTTCCCTTGAGGAAATTACCCACAGCTTGTTAAAGATCTCTCACCAGGACAATTTCAATTCTTTCCAGCCTACAGCTTCCCCTTTTCTTAATTTTATGCTATTGCTCTCAGCATCCTTTTGTGGCCTGCTTTGTAGGCCATTCCCCAGCACGCATTCCACAAGTGCCCAGGCGTCCTTCCTTGTCCTCTATCCATGTAAACCATCTTCAGCATTTTCATCCTTTCTAAATGCATCTTCTTCCAGCCCCTTAGATTTGTAAAAATAAATAAATAAATAAATAAATAAAAATAAAAAATAAAAAAAAAAATCTAAAAGTGGTAGCTTCTTTGGGGCATCTTCTCCCTGAACTTCTCTCCCACTTGTCTCAGTGTTTTGCTGGCCTGTTGGACTTGAAAAGCTTGGACTGGCACACTGGTCTCCTGAAAGCTGTAGGACAGACAGGAACAGCAGACTATGGAAGGATAGTGGTTGCACCATACTTTCCATATGGAAGACATTCAACACTGACTCATTTCTTCTCTGGTGAAGCACAGGGATGGGAGATTTTCTAGCTGTTTGCTTCTCTGTAAGAGCTGTCCTCTGGCTGTACCTTTACAAGCCAGTTACTTGCACGGTGCAAGGATCAGGCTGACCTCTGGTATAGAAAGGAAAGGCAGGAAAAAACACTTTCCATACAATTTTCTAGGGAACAATATTCTATACTGACACCATTACTACACCCAGCCACAGCAGAGATTTGGATCTCAAAGCACCGCTCCTCTCTAGGTCTAGTCTCAGCCTCCCCACGAGCTGAAATGGAAGGGGATGCAGCAAGCACTCGTGGGACAGCTGACTGCTGTCAGGGCCTGGGCTGCCGCCTGCCAGGTGCCAAAAAGCACAGCCAAAAACTGTCTGCACAACGGAGGAGGCAATGGAGACAGAGTCCCTTCCAGTTTGGGGCTGGAAATGAGAAAGGGACTGAGGATAGGAGAGGGACAGCACATCACAGGGCCCTGAAACTGTGAACAGTTCTTAAAAATACATATATTTATATACATATATATACACATAGTAATTGGGACATATAGATCTATTTCTTGGCAGGGCATCTAAAGGAGCTGATGACTGAATGGATTGAAGCCGCTATCTTTAATTACAGGCAGAGGAATGCCAGACAACACAGCACGGCCCTGGATGTCCCCTGGCAGAGGCTCCTAAGGGAGCCAGCTCTACTCAAGGCAATTGCCTGCTGACTTGCCTGAGCAGAAACACTGAGAAAACATGCTACGAATGACTCCAGACTCACTGAAGCCAGAAACCTGTGCAGATTTATACCTGATGAAGGTCTGTCCAGGGCAGCGCAATCGCACAGCTCATTCCCCACAGCCCCACCGGCTTCAGAGGGACTGGCATGCACTGGTAAGCATGTCTGGGCAAGGAGGAGCAGGAGAACGGGCTCGTTCTGCTGTGTAATACACTGCAGGCCAGTTTGTTCAGCTGGAGGTAAAAAAGAAAACAGGCAGAAGCATATTTCATCAACTGGAGAGACAGAGACTACTAGAAGAGGCAGGAGTCCAGATGTGGCCCAGTCTCAGGTGGTGACTGAGCTTTCTACAGAGGGTAAAGAACAGCTGCCTCCTTTAGCTGAACAGATCATGAGCTACAGAAACCTGCTCCTGAGCATGCCATCTCCGTCTCTTCCTCCAATGGATGGAAGAAGCATCATTAATACACTTTTACACCACACCATCTTAATTTCTCTCAACTTTCAACCGCTCTGAGCTACAGCCACACACCTTGAAGAGCTGAGCTTTTTGCATGCATGATAAACTCAGCTTTAAACTGATTACTGGAATATCCAAGCTGTTAATGTAATGACTGCCAGCTGAAGCCACACTCTCTTCACTGCTTAATCTTCACTTACAATGTCAGAATTCATTTGTTCTTTCCCACTGCACTCCCTGTTCCCAATTGTGCATCCCCTAAGTCCTCTCACATACCCCTCCTTCCCACCTCCACCGAGCACACTGCTTACAGGATTTCTGGAAATGGATCGTTTAAGGGAGAACTTATTTGTTTCAAGCAATAAACCAAAGCAAGCAAAAGGAACAACTCAATTACTGTTTACTTGAGGACAAAACTAGAGCATCTCGGATACCTTTGTGTGCAGCAGAATACGAATTTCCTATTTAATTCCTCTTCACTTCCTCTTCTGAATTCCTAAGCCATAGTAAGCAGCAATCAGCCCTCCACTCTGCCAGAGGCGATTGCATTTTAGGAGTAAGCTGTCCCAACAAAAGTTTAAGTAGAAAGAATAAACATCAAGATGCAGCTAACACCGCTGTGTGCCCAGCAAGGGGGATGAAGCTCTTTCCCATCTCATTGCTGCCTGTGGTTTCAAGCAACACGTGGGCTTACCTGAGCCATGAGCCCAGCATCCAAGAAATCCCCATGCCTCTGCGGTGCCGGACAAGCCCTTCCTCCAAGCTGCTTCCAGCTCTTTTCATTCTCAACCCAACCAGGAGGCAGAGGGAAGAGAAACTCGGAGCTCTCAGCCCAGAAGCATATCCACATTGCTAGACCCTTGCTCCTCCTCTATGGGTCTTTTCCATTGCAGCTGTTCCCACTACCTCCTGAGGGCCAGGGAAGCCAGGGCAGACAGCTGTGGCCTTTCTGCAGAAAAGGGCATTTGCTGCTTGCTCGCCAGCTGAGGGACGATGCCTGGCCCCCTGAGGAAGGCAGATATCATCTCCTCTGTAGTGGCATTTGCACAGCGCTTTGCAGCACAGCTATGTAAATGTAAGACAATTGGGGGATATCCTTCAAGTCCTGTACACCCATCCGATGCCAAGAGGGTAATGTCAGTTCACACCATCCAAGTAGCTAGCTCTGTGTAATTAACAACTGGAGATTGAGCCCAGAGCCTGTAAGCAGTAAGGTCAGGGTTACTCAGGGCTATGGGCAGCAGAAGACCACAGTCTTGCTGAAAACCAGACCTCTCTCAGAAGAAAAGAAAATCAAATCCAGCTGAAGGTATCATCTGACACCGCATTTGTCATTGCGATGGCTGTAAGCTTAGCCAGCCCGCTGAACAGCGTGTGTACTCTTTGCAGGTGGGTCAGAAAAAGCCTAAGGCACAGAGCAGCAAGTGCAGCAGAGGTCAGGCAACACTACAGCATGGGCACATGGGGCTTAGGAGGCAGCTTGGCAAAGCAGACTTTTCTGCTTTGCCTCCACTCAAGCCGTAAGAACACTGACACTAAAATCCTCACCTCGGTCCAGTCCCAGTTAAAACCCCTGGCAATGGTGATTTACCCAGCCCCCACGTGCAATACGTGGCTAGAACAACTCTGAGCCCTGAATTCCAGCTATTGTATCTGCTTATGCTACTGCCTGACAGATCAAAGAGCTTCTTTCACACATTTCCTCTTATGCAATGTGATCCACCAGCCTAAGACATTTTCCTTGATTAATAAATACTAGCAACAATACCCCAAGAGTCACAGGTAAGAAGTGCTAGTGCTCCACAGGGCAATGCATGTGAAATACTCTGGTACTTTTGTCCAGGGCTTTCCACACAGCTTAATGAGTCCATCACCGGGTTTAATGACCTGCCAGAGCTTTAGAAACACTCTGCCCTCCTCATCAATGATTCACAGGCAGCCTTAAAACTGTGCACAGATTAAAGAGCCCGCTGCTCCCCCATCTCGCTTCAAACCCAAGCGGTTTTAAATATTTCATCTTGCCACAGAGCTCCTCTGTACACATCCCAAAGGTGCTCCGAGGAGCTCTCGCTGGGAGTTTGGCTTCACCTGACAGAGGGACCTGCTGGCACCACAAGAAAGCTGTCACTGCCAGGCCTGCCCACAGTCCTTTATTTACATTCTTTAATGAGTCCTGTCTGACTCCAGATGACAGGAGCGAGGATTGGGGTCTCTGAGGTGGTTGATGACCTCTATAGAAAAGCAGATGGAAGCCAGGACTGCAGGAACAGGACCAAAACCACCCGACCCACAGTCACTGGGCCGAGCAGCAGCCTTGCTTCAGCAACTAGGGAGTCGCGGCCCTCTTCTCCTGTCAGCTTCAGTGGGATTTGGGGGGGGACAATGAACTTGTGTGAACTCGTTTTGGTCACCAGGGAAGGAGAGCAAAGCAGCCTGGTGTAGAGGGATGAAGAACTACAGCCAGTCCTCAGCTTTGCTACCAACGGCAGGATGGTGCTGAGCAGTCTGAGCCACCACTTCATCTCCCAGAGAGGAAAGCTGTCAGCAGATCTCACCAGCCAAGGCATCTTAAGATTTACGGATCCCCTATATGTTATGAACTATTAACTTTACTAGCTATATTTACATGATAACACAGCACACAGGGTTTTATTATAGATCCAAGTTCTCCACAGTTGCTTCGGGCAGACTCCTACAGCTGTTTTGATCAGTAAATCATCTATGCTTTTTTTTTTTTTTCCAAGTTAGTCCACCAGCTCTGAGGACAGAAAGAACAAATTCAGGGAAACAGACACTGCAGAGAGATAAATACAGAGGCACAGAGACACACAATTTCCTCTGTAACTGCTTCAGCTGCCCTGGATTGCTGCCCTCCTTTCAGCATCTCTCACCTACAGGCCTTGGAAGAGGCACAGAGCAGGCTGCAGCCACCTCAACACCTGTGCCTGGATCTTCGCTTCCCTTTACACAGGCATCATTTTGATTTCACTGTCTGTAAGAAGTGGCAGCCATCCTGCATTTTCCCAGCTTTTTACAGAGGAAATTGAGCAAAATTCCACAGTGGCAGTGATGGAAATCTGTGGGAAAACATGAGGAACAAGGCCCTGTCCTTATAACTGGGGTATGGGACAACCTTTCCCCATGTTGTCCATCCACCCTGACCATCGGGAACAACCTCAATTTCCACGTCCATTCAACTCCAGCAGTGTTTGGAAAAGAGGCATCCATCAGAAGAAGTCAAACCAGGACCACAAAGGTCGAGGAAAGGCATTAAAACATAGCGACTTTTTTTCCTGGTTGCATGAGACCCAGCAGCATTGAGCCGTAAGATCTACCTGCTCATCCCAACCAAACAGCTCTTTTTCTCTGCTTTCAGCTAAAATGTGATGGGAACAGGTGAGATCTCAAAAACCCTTCTGCTTTTCACACACCTGAATATTAATGAGGGACTTAAAACTTGAGAGCCCAAACTCCCCATCCCAGTCCATCTCCCCTGGTTTCTGGATCCCCAGCAGTACAGCCTCTGCCAGCTGGGTGACATCCACCCTCAGACTCCACATGCCTGTGGTCATCCACAGCATAAGAAGGGTTCCTCATCAGATCACCCTGGGACCCTCTGGAGAACTTCTGATCTTCAGATTTTCTTTAAACTTTATCTTCGGATTTTCTGTACTTTAAACCAACCTAAACATTTAGGGCCTCCATAGTGGAGAACAGCGTGCACTGCTCCCTTTACCCTATGGTCACCCACAGTCAGCACTGTGGGCAAGGGATCTGACAACCCCTGTACACCACCAGGGACAGTACAGCTGGTGGCACTTGGTCAATGAGGATACACTTCGATACTGTGGGGGTGCAACCCACTGTAGGTGATCCTGCTTTGCAGGGAGGTTGGACTAGGTGATTGCCAGAGGTTCCTTCCAACTTCAACCATACTGCAATGTCCTGTAATTTCCTTCCCCACATTTCTTCTCACATCTCATAATGGAAAAAGAAGCCAGAAATCCTCAACAGGTGAACAGGATCTCATCAATCCACAATAGATATGGCCAAATCTTTTTTTGTTGTTGTTTCTGTACTCAGAAAAAGAAGCCTTGCCCTCCCCCTTTGTGTTTCAGTCTTTCTGAGATGAGGAAAGAGTGATGAGCTCTGTGGACATGCAAAGGGTAGCCCCACCTGAGAGAGGAGACGGAGATCCCTTTACTTAGTGCAAAACCAAACAAAAGTGAGCAATAAAGCACTTCACAAAGTGAGCAGGTAAGCATCTGCTTTTATCTTCAGTCGATACCTTTTCAGCATGGCTGATCTCTGAAATCTGATTTTGTGTTGTACTATGGCAAATCCATGCCCCCTGGGAGGCTTGCATACCTCTTGCTGAGCATTAGCTCTCACTTCATTTGTCCACACAATCTCCAAACAGTTGTCATCCTGACATCCAAGCAAGCTTAAACAAAAACATAATCTCTCCATAAAGCACATCACTATACTCGAATAGCTGTTGCTCCCAGGTGTCCTATTCCATGAAATCCATCACCAGAGCACTTTGCCTTCTTCAGTGAAGGGAGGGCGTTCACAGAAGAAAGCTCTGTAAGGCATCACAGGCTAACCTTTAGTGGGGCTCAGCACCCCTCTCTCTGGTTCACTCCTGTCTTTGAGGGGGGACAGGGCCATGGCACACTGTTCTCGGCCAAAGCTACTGCATCAGCCATGAAAGTATTCATGGAACACCCTCACTGCACAACAAAGCTATTACACTATGGTGTGACAAAAAAA